GAGTCTTTTGTCTCCAAACACAACTGAAAAGAAAAAAAAAAAAAAACTTTAAAGAGGCAAAGTGACTGACTGGAGTATTTCTCCAGCAACAACAACAAAAAACCTTCTTTATTCTGAGGCTTATTTCTGCTTGCCAAAACATGATGGTTAGTCTCCCTCAGAATCTCATGAGATAAAAATGAACAATCTTCAAATACAGGAGACCCACAAGAATCTGAGATTTGGAAGGAAAAGCAACCTTGAACTCCATGCTTGCTAGGTAATGTAAGGGCCCTACCACACAGCTACTGCCTACTCCATTCTTTTTATCTCCAGAAGATTCAGTAAAGGGCTAGCAGCATCACCACAGCCATTGCTTTGTCATTGGTAACAGACAAATTCATCCAGCTAATTCATCAATAGGCAAGTAGAAAAACTGAGTATGTATGTGTGTGTATGTATATACACACACATACACACACACAAAATGGAACACTCTTTGACCTTTAAGAACATTTGCAACATAGATGAAGTGAAATGAGCCAGGTTTTTAGATAATAAATATCATATGCTTACACACACACACACACACACACACACACACACACCTTCCAACCTAACACAATCACTCTCATATAAGTAGAGTGTAGAGAGTAGAATAGTAGTTACCAAAGGCTATAAGGTACAAGAGAATAGAGATAGAGGTCAAGGTGGATAAAGTTTGGAGAAATGTCTTTTTAAGATCTATTACAAAGGAAGGCAATTGTGTCAAATAATATAGTGTACACCGCTTTAAAATCCCCAAGAGTTAGCCAGGTAGTGGTGGCACATGCATTTAATCCCAGCACTCCGGAGCCAGAGGCAGGTGTATCTCTGTGAGTTCAAGGCCAGCCTGGTCTACAATGCTACACAGAGAAACCTGAGCTCATGCACCCCAGTCTGATAGGTAAGAAACCAGCATAGGACTGACCCAGACTCCCTGAATGTGGTGTTAGTTAGGAGGACTGGGTAGTCTATGGGGCTTCTGGTAGTGGATCAGTATTTATCCCTAGTATACAAATGGACTTTGGAAGCCCATTCTACATAGAGGGATACTTTCTCAGCCTAGACAGATGGGGAGGGCCTAGACCTTGCCCCAAATGATATGACAGACTCTGAAGACTCCCTATGGAAGGCCCCAACCTCCCTGGGTAGCAGAAAGGGGATGGGATGGGGTTTGGTGAGAGGATGGGAAGTTGAGGGACCTGGGATTGAAACCTTGTTTCAAATTTAAATAAGGGTTTCAAATTTAAATAAGGGAAAAAGAAAAAAATAAAGAAACAGAAAAAAATCCCAAGAGTAAATACATAAGAAAACAATAAGAATTTCTCAGGTTATAGATACATTTGTGTGATATAATTATCACTGCACGCTGCACTACGCCTTACCCCACAAGTACACCTTTTGTCAGTTCTCGTGAAGAAAATAAAAATAAAAGATTTTCATGCCATTAAATAACAAGAAGCATGGTTTTTTTTTAAAAAAAAAAAAAAAAAAGAAGAAGAACACATCCTTGACTTACAAGGCCATTTGCTTTTGAGGGTAAACATACAGAAGCCATGATCTGGGCCCAGCTTGATGCACAGACTGACTAGAATTTGACTGTTCTGACTCCTGTCAACAGTATCTGTATCTCTCTTAAATCCACCAAGAAGAAATTACAGTAAAATTGCCTTTCTTGAGAATAATTCCAAGGAGTTTTATTTCCAAACAGGGGTTCAACTGAACTTTAATTCCATATTTATGACTGTCATAGCAAAACACTTATTGTTGTTTCGAGACAGGGTTTCTCTGGGTAGCCTTGGCTGCCCTGGAATTCGATTTGTAGGCCAGGCTAGCCTCAAACTCAGAGAGATCCTCCTGCCTCTGCCTCCTAAGTGCTGAGAGTAAAAGCATGTGCCACTACTGCCTGGCTTCATTTTTAAAAAGTGAAGTTGGGAGAAGCATTTATTATAATTTTCAGAGACAGTTTGGAGAGCCTAAACAAGTATTAAATCAAGAAATGGGATCAATGATAATTCTACATTACTAAATATTTTGTCTGTCATCGAGTCATCAACATAATGGGAGATAGTACAACTTTCATCCTAAGAGATGCTATTTATTTTTTTTAAAGAGTTTTACTCTGCTAATTGGGTAGTATGTACACTGGCTCATTCCATTTCTCCCAAGGGCAAAGGGGAGTACAAGGCCAATACTAAAAGCCAGGGAGATTTGGGCATTTCTCAGACTCAAGTCAGTGACCTTAGACTGTTCTATTTTTAAACAGCCATGCTGGGCTACCATATTGTTTTCCATATGCTTTTGCAAAATGACACACCCTGGCCACTAGTCCCTGCTCTGTTATACCCTAAGAGTGGCAGGGAAAACAAAAGATGGAGTTAGCCAATTGACAACACCCAACTTAGTCAATTCATTAGTGCTTTTCTGTTTGGAGAGAAATGTGTTAAGAAGTGTGTTAAAGAGTACACACTCAAATTTTGTCAATTTTGTTTCTGCAAAAGCATTACTGCCTTTAATAGAAGATACAGACCTTGGATAACCACAGATCCCCTGATATGTCCTCAAATTTGAAATAAATGACAGTAAAAGCATCGATGCTTGGAGGAACTGCCTGTAATACAATGGGATTCATTGATGTTGGCCATTCCAGAACCACTACAAAGAAAAAGCTTCATGTGCATCGTGTCAAAAGGGTACCTAGCATGAGGTAGGGCTGACTTAGCTATACTAACTCGGGCCCTTGGTGGACACTAAGGAGATGAGTACCAGAGTGTATACACTGGGTTTGATAAAAACCTAAAAGTGCAGAGCCTCTAACTCCAGTTACAATTACTCTCTGACTTTTAGAGCTGATTCTGAATAGTTAAAGGCACAGCTGTCACCACTACAGAAAAGTAGCTGCCCTCCACAAAGTCAGCAGCATCCCACCATACAAGTGTGACCCCGTGTTATTATTCTGAGCATTGATCATAAACATTAATCGTAAATCCATTAAATGTCTTCTCATAGCAATGGACTTGAGAAAACTCTCTCACACACATACACACAAACTCACACACACACACTACATACACATACAATTGTCACAACTGGTAGTTGAAGGCTGCTGACCTTTTTGTGTAAACTTTTAAATCAAGTTATGAGATTGTGTTAGGAAGAAAAAATATTTCTGAAAAAAGAAAACCAAACCTTCATTCTTCAGACATTACATCACTGGTGTGTGTGTGTGTGTGTGTGTGTGTGTGTGTGTGTGTGTGTGTTTTAAGACAAAGAAAATCAAGTACACACCAAGCTATCTTCATCTTTAATATTTTTCCAGCCTACTAAAGAGTCAGGAATAAGAGCGAAAAGGAATGCTGGGAAAATTTAACATTCACATATGGTTCATCAGCTGCCATGCGTTTTGTTCTCCAAGATATACAACTTAAGACTTCCTTTAGTAGCTACCCAAATGCAGACAGATTTCATGGGGTGTCATCCAGCAACTGTGTGTGGAACCCTTACAGTGTGCCTGCACAGGCAGCAGCCTGCTATTATTCTCGAAAGTCGGCTTGTTTTTGCAGAGATGGCAAGGTTAGACTTGAGTTCCTATTTTCTGTAAGTAAACATTTGCAATCTTCAAACGCACCCGCTTTTCACAGTGAGTTTCAGCGCCGGATAGGATCAATGACATATTTGCACTGGATTCCAATCGTTTTAAAATAGGACTGCCCTTTGTGCAAGACAATTTCAGCTCGGCAACAGCTGATTCAGTTCACAAGCAACAATACTGCCCATTGAAAAATGCACCTTCCTTAAAACAAATCATACTTTTTTGTTCCCAGGAAGCTTTGTTGCTATTTCCAGAAACAAAAGATACATTCTGACAACCTCAATAATGGTTTTAGGTAAACCAAGAGTAAACAAGATAACAACAGCAGCCCGAGAAGCAGCCAAGGTGAGCTGGAGGCGGGGAAAGGGAAGGTTGAGTGGAAATGGATATTTGTGATCTAAGAAATTCAGTATTCACTGACGAATGGGAGTGGGAGGAGGAAAGAGGAAGGCGATTTTGTTTTCAGTTATAAGAAAGAAGTGTGTGGTGCCGGTTTTCTTTCACCAGTGCGTGTTAAATACCCAGCATGCAAAATCTAGTTTTGTGACTTAAGACTGACTCAATGAGAGTAAGTTTGTGTGCAGATACAAAGGCGAGATCTAACCAAATTGAGGACTCATACCAAAAAATTCGTGACAATTATTCCAACGTTTCAAGAGTCTTCCTGTACCAGCAAGAAGCTTATGATTAGTCATGGGGTCCTACTATCGATTTCAAATGACCATTTTGTATGATGGCACCAGTCCTGTTCTGCCCTCTTTTAAAGAAACCACTAACGATCCCAGAGTGCTTTCGTCACCCATTTCCTAGAACTGAGGGCCTAAAACGGTGGCACGGAAGGAAGGCAGAGAGCAAGCAGAAGCCAAAGGTCCGGGCAAATTCTTCTGCAGCGCGGCCCCATCTCCCGCGTGCGTGCGGGAGTGGAAGAGCTGGAAGTGTGTGCGCTCCTCCTCCCTCCGGGCCGCGCGTCCCCATCGTTCCAGGATGTCAAGTGGGTGGCGGCTAGCCTCGGAGGAGAAGCCCAGCCTGGAAGCCCTAGTACCTCTCTGATGGGGACAACCGAGCCCCAGCTTGGCGGTTCCCCCAGCCAGCCGCCGCTCACCTTTGTTCGCCGGCCCTCTCTGAGAAGAGGAAGCCGGGAAAGAAGGAGCGCGGGCGGCGACCCAGCTCCCCGCGGCCCCTTCGCGGCGCCCCGTAGAAAATCCGCGGACTAGTCGGACCCTCTCTAGCTCCCCAGAGGCCAGCCCGGCCAAGGGATCGGGGTCCCCAGGGTGAACACAAAGGTTGGGAGGTGTGAGCCCGAGCGCGGGGGCGTGCGCCACGGAGCAGGCGAGTGTGCACGCGTGTGCCTGTGTGCAGGAAAGCCAGGAGCTCCGGCCCTTCTTACCTCTCGAAGATGAGCCGCACCATGAAGATACAGAAGGCCACGGGGAAGGCGAGGTAAAGGTCCTCCGCCTGAGGGAAGGTGGCTTCCTCCGTGTTCTTCAGGTCTGCCCAGGTGACATTGTGCGGAAGCCAAAACCGCTCGTTCCAGAACCAAGCTAAGATCCCTGCCATCTTGCTTTGTCCACTCCTGTGTCGCGGCTCCCGCGCTCTTCCAAGCTCTCCGCAGCGCAGAGCACCAGGGATGCGCGCTGGGCTGGCCCGGAGCCTGTGCCGCCGCCGCTCCCGCCTGCCGCCGCCTCCTCCGCGGCCGCTGCGCTCCCGAGCTCTCGGCTGGCTCCTCTCCTCTCCTCCCTCTGGCCGCGCTGGGAAAGGGGCCGCCTCGCCTGTCACGTGGCAGCCTGGCCGCACGCCCTGATTGGCTGGTGCTCGCGTCAAACAGCAAGGCACACGCGGCCGGCTCGCCCACGCCCTGAGGGCTGCGGGCCACGCTCGGGCTCTGGACCAGTACCTGGAGCGCGTCCTGCACCTCTGTCTGAGCCGCGAGTTGGATCGCACACGGTCAGAACGCCAGCTCCTACCCCTATTGGAGTTTCTGCGCTCTCGTCTTCTTCCCGAGCGCAGAGAGACAAGAGGAGGCTGGCAGGGGCCGAGCTTCCATGGAAAGCCCTGCACCGAGAAAGAACCGCTGAAGAAGTAGGGGGTGCAAAGGAGGAAGGAGTGGGAGGGAGAAAAATCATCCTCTTCAGTGCGAAAGAAAATCAGGAACTGGGGCGGGATAGTTTGGCAAGAGACTTCTGCCTCCAACCCAAGCCTGCCCTCCCCCTTGACCTTCCTGCCATGGTTTACAATGCTGCTTTTCATTGAGCCGACTCCCCAGGGCAAAAGGCACCTTATTTTGATTATGAAATTTGTGATTAATTAATTGATTAATGATGAGGGTGATAATAGTAGCTGGTAACAGGAGCATTATGTGAAACTACTCCACCGACCTAGGCAAATACTGCAGGAACCACATTTTGATGTGGTAGGTAACTGGGGTGGGGGGTGATATTTATTCCTTCTCCTCCTCCCTTTAAACCAAACCCTCAAGGCCTATAGTGTGCCTCCAGATTCTCACCTCCTATTCTTGGTTGAGCTTCCATTCATGCCTTCTCCTCCCGTTGAAATCACTCAAGGTCAGCTATGATTGCAAAGGTCAGCTCTTGCCTTAGTCCAGGCTGCTTGACAACATAGCTCAAACAATGAAAATGTATTGCTCATAACTCCCAGAGACAAAGTCCAAAGCCGAGGTACTAGTGACTCTGGGATGCAGCAAAAGCACACTTCCTGAAGTCTTCCTGACAGGTGGTTGTCTTCTCAAAGAATCTCTTGTTGCAGAGGCAGGAAGAATGCACACTTGGATCTATCTTCTTGCTAGGGCACTAACCCTATTCCCAAGCCTTCCCTAGTATGCCTATACACCCCTTTAACCCAGCAAGCACTCAGTAGCCAGAGGCAGGCAGATCCTTGAGTTCAAGGCCAGCCTGACCTATAGATAGATGAGTTCGAGGACAGCCGGGACCACACTGTCCGAAAAACAATCAAATATCTATATCTATATAGATAGGTATCTAAATATAAGTAGACGTATAGATATTTTATTAAATGTTGTTTCAAATTTTAAAGAAAGTATCTAGTACATAGAGGACTCACTAAACTATTGACTTAATGAATCAGCATTACTCTAACAATCTGCCTCCCCCAAAAGGAGACGTGTCTAAGTGAAGATAATATTTGAATAATTAAGTTCAATATTCATAGATCCTTGTCAGTTTCATGAGAAGCACCAAGTGGGCACAAAGAAGAGCTTGTCCGTTTCTGGGTGGAAGAAGGGAGATGTCATTGAAGCAAGTCTTCTTTGGAGAGGACACGCCACCATCTGCATTCCAGAACATGTGTAAGCAGCTTTGTAGCTAAACCCCTCGTGTTCCCTCGCTCTGCCTGACTCTCCTGTGTCCTGTTTCCTGCTTCTCTCAGACAAACTAATCAGAGAACAAAAGGTGATGCTTCTGTCTCACCCATCACCCTTGAGACTAGGGTGGGATTTGAAGTGTATTGAAAAGATGGATTTCGTCAGGCAGTCCTGCAAGGGGGGTTTAGTCCTTGTCAGAATCTTAGATGAATTGGTTAGTTTGTACAAGCATGCACATGTCCTCCTATGTGATCTGCATAAGTATGGCATCTGTCTTACTTCTAGACACTGTTATGAAGCTAGCATGTGTCAATTCTTCACCTCGGTACTCATATACAGTGAAGTAAACACCTCGTTTGCTTGTCTGGCATCTCCCTGAAGTAATAGCTCCATCATACCACCCATCACTCAAATAATTACTCTGAAAACACAATAGGGTGAGCTATCATTTCTTATCCGGCCATACTTTGGTTAATTTGGGGATGGGCTCATGATAGCAGTGAAGGTTCTTCTTCAGATAATGGAGGTTTGGTCAGCAGCCTATTTTGTAAATGCTTGGATTCAAACTCAGAGACTATTGTCCACCATACTTCACTGTAGAGCTGTAAAAAGTAAAAGCTAGTTGGCTACAGAGAGCAAAGTCAGACTCAGAGAGTTGAGTAAAAATCTAAGACAGAGAGTTCTGTCAGCATCTAGCTTCAGGTTCCACACAGTACAAGAGTGCTGATTGCCTTCTCATCTTTAAACTCTAAGAAACAGTTTAACTTCATGGAAGATTTCCCTTTCTGGTTCTTTAATTACTGTAATTTTAATCCAGGAGTCCCATTATCCAAGACAATGCTCAGGGAGCACATGCCATACTCTTAGACTCAAGGAAAAGTTAGTCATAGAAGAGGCAGCACCTTCCAAGAATGCTACTTTAGACCTGGACAATAAGAACTTCTAATTGTTGCCCCAGGAAACCAAAATGCAATGGATGCCTCACACAAATGTATGGCTCAATGAGAAAATGAATAGTTAGTTGCTAAGCAGAAGAGGCAAGAAAAAAGAAAATGTAGAAAGATAACTTTGGTTGAGGGAACTACAACTGGGAAACAGCTCTATAATCTGAATGTGAAGTAGGATATTAGTTGTACACCTGCTTTCCCATGCAACTTGGAACTATCAACAAAGCTAAGTTAGTTTTCTCATCCTTGGGTGCACACCCATGTCTTAGTTCTTCAATATACATTCAAGTTCACATGTAAAAACTCCACTTCTTGGGAGCAGGAGAACAGCCATAAGTTTCCATGATTGTCCACTATGAGTTTGCATAACACGATATTATAGTACTTATTCTACAAAAAGAACAAACAGATCTACTTGGGTAGCAGGGTATACTCACATGAAAAGCCAGATAGCAATACACACCAGCACCATTCAAGGTGCACTAGACATTAGAGGGTAAATTCCCGGCGAGTGCTGATAACAAGGACTCAGGAAGAAGGGGACATTCTGTTTTGAAATGGTAAAGCAAACTCCAATCAAGAGGTAGAAATGAATTAGATTATGAGGAATGAGTAAGATTTTTAAAGAGCATGAGTAGTGGGATAAATCTGATAAGAGCAATAAATAAAACATTGCTGATACACCAGATAACAGATAGCCTTTAGTATGGATCAAAGGGATACACCTTTGAAAGTCAATGGGCTTACGTTTTATCTATGACTAGAGCATAGGAGTTGTTTTATAGTACCCTGTTATATAATACACACTTAGATTACACACACCTGCATATGTATTCAGTGCTTAAAACAAAGACAGTACTAAAAGTAAGCATTCAGTTTAAACACTCACTGATTGTAAATACTTACTTTTTAAATGTTGAATATTTGTGGGTATGTACACGTGAGCTATATAGTTAATGTGTTTTGTGCAGCCTGATATGAGAGCTGGGGACAAGAGAGAGAGAGAGAGAGAGAGAGAGAGAGAGAGAGAGAGAACTGGTTAATAATAGGGAATATTGCAGAATTGTAGAATTGTGTTTCTGTAGTTTTCCTATTACCACAAAAACCTTCTTGTTGTGGTTGGTAAAGTCAGTTACCATGTGTCTACACTAGTTTTAGGTTTTGGTTGTTGTTGTTGTTTGCTTCTTTGTTTGACTGGTTGCCCACCTATAGGGATTTCACTCATACTGTATATAGTGGTGCCCTTGTAAGTGATATCAGCAAGAGATAGGCAGAATCCATCTCTACAGTGTGCAGATCAGCAGTAACAATGCAAGAAACTCAGCATCTTCCTCCAACTGAAAAGAAGAAATGAGTATTATTTAACTAACAGCACTGGACTGATGGTAAGATGTCAAGCCTGAACAGGAATATCTAGAACACAAAACTCATTCCATAGCATGTGTTCTTTTTTGTTGTTGTTTTGTTTTGTTTGCTTTTCAATAGTTGTAATTTATTGTTTGAGAATTTCATACAATAGATTCAGATCATATTCATCCTCCTCCTCCATTTTCTCCCAGATCCTTCCCCACTTCCCTACCTACCTAATCCCACCCCATTAAAAAAATAAATAAATAAAGCATGGGTCTGGATCATAAGTTAAGAATACTTGCCGTTCTTGCAGAGGATCCAAGTTCTAGTCCCAGCAAACACATGTTTGTTCACAATTCTCTGTAACTCCAGTTACAGGCAATCTGATACACTCTTTTGACCTCTGTGAGCACAAAGCACAAATATGGTGCCCATCTATTCATCCATCCATCCATCCATCCATCCAAATATACATACATACAAGTGAAACATTCATTAAAATAAGAAGAACAAATCTGACAAAAACAAAATAAAACACAAATCCAGTGTCCAGCTTGCACTGGCCAACTACTTTGTGTGTAAGACCTGGCCTTGAGTGTGGTTGATATACCAAGTATTACTTCATTGAAGAAAATTAACTTTCCCTTCAAAAAGTAAAACTCAAATGCTAATAACTCATTGTCTAGGGGTGGGATTTCACGCCCATCTTCCCAGTTCTGTGTGCTAGATTTAGTCTGGTCCTGATGTATGCTGTCACAATATCTGTGAGTTCATATGTGCATCTTCCCTGTTGTGTCCAGAAAACTATATTTCCTTGAAGTCATTCACCAGCTCTGACTCTTACAATCTTTCTGTTCTCTTCTAAGTAGAAGCCTGGGCCTTGAGGGGAAGACATATGATGTAGACAACCCATATTGGACTGAGTGCTCCAAAGACTTGATGTATATCAAACAGTCATAGGTTAATTACCATCTACTGTGCTGATATCTCGCTTGTACAAATAAAGCCTGTCTGAGGGTGAGAGAATGGAGCTTGCCACTAGCTAACCATAAAGGTCTGGA